GCAGTGCTCAGCCAGAAGCTGTTACATGACAATCCAGTTGCTCTCGGGCTCCCACCAGTTGTACTTTGCCCTCTACTTTCTTTAACATTTCCCTCTCAGCTCTGCTCGCTCTTCCTACTGACAGTTTTACTATTGACATCTCTGCTGACAATCCTGCCGCTTCACATCTTATCATTGCCTTGAAGGAGTCCCTGCCAGCGTGCTCCCTGTCAGAGGGTCAGTTCTGGCATCCCACCTTCTTCCATCACTACTTGGGGCAAACCAGCTTCCTTTGCCATCGACCAACAACTGCAATTTTCCGTAGCTGCTTCCAAATGCTGTACAATCGCCTGATTACAACTTACTAATGTCCCCCAAAGCATCGGGCTTGCTGTTTGACCAAAAGTGAAGAAGGAAGAGTTTCTGGTTTCAGTTGCGCAGCCGGCTGGCCAAACTGCAGCCCGAGGACTCCCCTTTGATGCAGACCTACCCAGCAGGGTCTGCACTTCAGATGCAGCCCCAGCCTGGTCTGATGGTGTGAAAGCTGTCAGGGATGACCGACGTAACCTAATAAACTCCTCTCTGTATTTAACAGACATTCAACTATACAGCTTTGGGGTTTATGTATTTGCGTGGCATAATGCTTCTGATGTATTTATTTTTATTTGTGTATAATGCTTTTCTTCCCATTATGTGTTCTTCTGCACTATAGAAACACAGCATTATTTTTCTCAGAAATTTTAGACAGCAGTAAATGTGAATAAATGTTTACATTTTCTGAAACTAAGTAAAATATTATTTAAAAGGTTCTCTTAACTCTAAAAGTGAAATTATGCTTGCAGTTCTGATTACATACATAAATAAAACTGTCATCAGAAAACGCAAAACAAATGATTATAGAGAATCTAGCTTAAACACAACCTGTTGTAGCAAATTTCATTAAAAACTGGCATGTACCTAGATTATTTTCTACCTTTACCAGGATGCGTCTGATCAAAAAGGAAACCAACCAGGCAGACCAGGAAATTGTGGAAAGACTGTCAGCTCCTCTGAGTGCTGTCTTCAAATCTACGTCTAATCCAATTAAACCCAAATAAGCAGTCAAAAGGCTATGGCATGCTTTCCCAAGCTTCTCCTGTGACAGAACCTGGCGCATGTATTTTGATGAAGCACTACAGTTAGAGATAGGCAGACCAGACAGAAGTGTTATCAATTGTTTTTCAACCTATTTAAATACGCTGCCATTACCTGCACTTAATGTTGAGTCTTTTACCTTAACTAGGTGACATTAAAGCCTCAATTCTGGAAAGAACATAAATGTGTTTTAAGAAAATTATTAGTTCTGTGATCGAAATAAAGGGTTTTGTTGGGGGAGAAGAGGTGACACTTGCAAAAAAAATGATAGCAGATAATGAAAAGCAGGGGGGAAAAAAAAAAACCCTTTTATTTCCAAATGAAATAAAAGCACTGCTAAGAAGAGTTTGTCCAAACAGAAACACAGTATCTTCAGTTTGAAAGCTGTTAGGAAACAGCTACGGCATACAATCAGTCAGTTTAAATATGCCATGGTTGGACTATCTCCATCTTCATATCAAGTTCAGGCGTCACATGGATGAGTTCATCCTACAATCAGGGGCTAGAAATTCTCTGTACTGTTATACATATCTGCTTTAACTGTTAACTTTGCATTCTGTAAATAGGTCTCTTGAAAAGTAAATGTCATACTATGAAAGGCCCTGAGAGTCCTGGAAGCGGCGTTATCAGGTTTAGGCAAAGGACAAACACTCTGTGGCTGCCCTAAAGTGCCACCCTTTATTGGGGGTGGGAGGGATTTCAAGTGTTTGTGCTAATTTAAAACTAAAGCTGCATCCCCCAAACCCATCATTTTTGTATTAGTTGTATTATTTGCATGGGGAACACTGAAGATGTAGGTTTCTTGGTAGCTGCTGGAGAAGTATGGCATTAGCTTTTTGAGTACCTCAGCATGACCCCGAACCTCCCCATCATCCCAACAAAATGCAGGCATTAAGTATATAAAACAATTTTCCCAGCATTATTTAAAAAGACCTCAAGCCTCTGTGCGGGGGTGACGAGAGAGTGGAATAAGACATGTAAGATGTTTTATAAAGATATATTTTAACTTCTAAGGCACTCAGGAACCATGGTGATGAGTGTGACACAAACTTAAATTGCTTAGATATGAGCTCTGATCCACAGGGAACTATCCTAAGATTCATAAAGAGCGTCAGATGCTAATAACTTCTAGTCAGTACCTACCTGGGCTTGATTTAACTGGTGACATACAGCTGAAATCCCTTGAGGCCAATTTTCATTTAAATGTCGGCCACTGCTTTGACACTGTAAAGTGACCTCAAGGAAAATGAGGATCGTGCTGTTGTCTTACACCATTGGGAAGTTAAAACCAGTCTCTCACCCAAATTGCCGGGAAACTGATGCCAAAACAAATCTACTTTTTTCCCCCCAGTATTTCCTTTTTCCCCATTCAGCATTCTGAGCGACTTTGCAGGAAGCTTATGGTGGCTTATACACCAGGGAGTTAAAACTAGTAAACAGATTGCTATGTTTGTTTTGCGCGTGCCGAGGGGAGCACAAAAGATTATTAATTGCAGAACTATACTGTCAGTAACAACCTTGATCTTGCACTGGGTATCGTTCTGTCACTGTCAGAATCTGTCACTGTTGTAGGAGATGTCTTGTATTATCTGTCATGTTCTTGTTAGGTCTGCTGTTCACAAATATAGTTTGAAAACACAGTTGCAATTTCAATTAATTTTTATGTTCCTTAGTTTTGTACAACTGGTTTACAGTTGTACTCTAAATCTTTCAAAAGGGATCCATTTTACAGCAACCTTAAAAGCTTATTGTATCATTCTAACCATTTTAATTAATATACTGACATTTTGTTGCTATCTATGTAAAAGTAAGTTGCTTTTATTTTTCAGCTGCAGAAGCAGCAGTATCCAGGCACCGTCCTGCGCTTCAGTGATGGAAATTTCCCAGCCTCAAAGCACACTCTGTCTCAGTCAGCTGCAATAAAACTCCGAGTGATTTCAATATTGTTGTGTGCTTTGCTTGTCCTCAGTTATCTGAAGCTTGTATCTTTTGAAAACCAGCGACTCCTCATGAGCTTGCTTCATCTTGCCCAAGACTTAAAATTCAGTAAACAAGCAGTGGATGATAAGAAAATTGAACCACCAGATAAAAAAGTTATTTTACAGGACTGATAAAAAAACCCCATGCATATAGTCAGTATTTATACAGAACGCTACCAGTGACTTGTGAGGATGCCACTGAAGTCCTGGTCTTTGACCGCTGTTTTCCTGTGCCGAAGCTTTATGCACTGGAAGGTATTAAATTTTTACAAAAAAAAAATTTAGCTAGTGCATAGTATCAGTCGCTTGATCGCTGTATTTCTGATACCGTTGATTGCTAGGAAAATACAAGAAAATACAAAAAAGGAGGTAAGATTATTACAAAGCCTCACAAGTCTAATGATTTACAAATACTAAAATATGCAGTCTGTTTCCACCACTTGTTCTCAGTTCAGCTGTAGCCAGGACAAGTGGTGCCTCCAACAGAGGCAGAAGTCAAAGAATGTAGAAACAGGATAATTAGGGATTTATGTTGTCCAGATATTGCAGTAACTCCATTTTTTAATACTTCTCATGGCTAAAAATTTAGGGACCATTTGTGATGAAGAGGTCGGCTGACGTGAGGGTAAAGGAGAAAGGATGATGAAAGAAAAAATAAAAGAGAATACAGGGGGTGGGGAGGGAGAATGTAAAATAAAAGTAAGATGAATAGGGAGTGAGAATGAGCTATGGGAACAGAAGGGCTGTAGTTGGGGAGGTGGTATCCGGACCCCGCTGCATCTGGCTTTGTGTAGGTGAAGCACTCGGCAGACACACAAGTCCCTTCATGGGGAACCTGTTTGGGGAATGGTGGCAGACCTTCTAAAAAGAGCTTACCAGGCCTGGCTTTCACGTGATGTTGTTGGGAGCCGGGGTGATGTTCATCACAAACATGTAGCTAATGATTTTGTGACGGCACAGGTATACTTCCTAGTTGTCTCCTGTTACTATATTTAGTCTAAACAACGGGCAGTGGCTGAATAGAAACAAGTGGTAGGGAACTATGGGATTCTGAGATTTTTCACACAAAAGCCACCAGGGTTCAAATGTCAGCCAACGCTGGTACACCATCACACGACAAGTGCGTGGCAGCCTTTACGAGCAAGTTGGAGGCCATAGCACAGTTATTCTGAATATAAGGTTCCACATATGAACCGTCATACTTAGCTTTCCTGTTGTTAGTCTTGGCAGATAACAAGACCTGACTGGAAGCCGGACTGTCTTTTCTCCTTTACCGGCCAGATTCTGGCCTTGCTGACACGGAATGACAGGAGCATGGAAGAGGCACCACCAGATTCATGGCTGCGGCGCTTCAAGCACCTGCAGGGAAATCTGCATCTTTGCTCTCTAAGCTGGACCGGTGCTGTGGGAGGGAAGGACGGTTTTAGTCTCTTCTCCTTGCATGTTGCTCAGTCCACTGACCCGAGAGCCTAAAGAGGCTGTACCGCATTTTTTTTAATAGATATTATATAAATTACAAACATCTGTTTCTACAGCCCGAAATTGATGAATCACCATTCATTTTTAAAACAACCATTTCTTTTGCAGTTTTGCATATCTATAGTAGATAAGAGCTGTGCAGACAAGAGAGATTTCCTGAAGGAAGTGGTGTCACAGTATTTTGAAAAAAAGAGCCAAGCTGTTGGAATCTGCGTTGCGTTATGGGGTAATGCAATACCTCTGAGCACTTCCTGTTTACCGTGAGAGATACAGTTTCACCACATCATAAAACTTTCAAGCATTTGTTAATAAACACTGCTAGAGAAAAAATAATATCCAAATATACAACCCCCCGTGGCATCTGTCATTATAAACAGGAGAAGGTTTTCATTATATATATCAGGGGACTGTGTGTGAAAGCAGCGGCATACGATTTTTCTTATATGTAAATATCAAGATGTTTGAACGAGCAAATGTAATTTCTACTATCAGCATTTGTCATTTTTGTAAACAATGTGGGTATACAGAGAGTGAACCTCTGCAGAGTCACAGAACAGAGCCTTATATGAAAATGGCAAAAGTAAGATTTGCTTCTAACAACAGTAATCTGCAAGTGCTGAGGTACCTGATCAAATACACAAGCTGTGCAGATGTTCAGAGCAGCGCTGTCTCGCTGTGTGGCCTTTCTCACTTGACAGCTTTGTTGTCTCAATTAATTTTTCTGGATAAATTAACCTAGCCCAAAAATGTAGAACTAGGGAGCAGAAGGGTGCAGATTTTTCAATACCAGCAACCTCGATGGTGCAGTTTGCACCCCCAACAGATAAGATCTTTGGCAAGGAAACGCAAATTATTGAGACTGATTCAGGATGTTCTTGCGATCATGGCTAGGACTTGGTCTGCAGCTGAAAGGCACACAGGGTGGGGGTCAGGGAGGAAATTCAAGGTTTCTGTTGATTCTGTAGGGAATAAGCATTTTGAGAGGTAACTATACAACAACGAGGCAAAGGCAGGCCTTGCGTCTCATAGAGCTTCACCACTGAAGGAGGCTTGTTAAGTTCAGGGCAAACTGTAAGACTTAATCTGTTTCTTCAAGCTTTCTGGGACGAATGGGAAGATCTGAACTGCAGTTCAGTGTAACCCTGCTGCGCGGAAATTCAAGATGGGTAACGACTGTAGACAATTCTTACTTCTTTAAATGGCTATAACGTTTTACTCTGCCACGTAGACTGTTACCAGTTAGACCAGGAGAAAGACTGACCTTCAGAAAGATGTTCCCTCCGGCCGCCAGCACTAGATCTAGCTAAATTGAATTAATAATTAAGACATTTGTAGCTTTTTGGATTTTGAAAGTTTTAACGATGGGAAAATTATCTGTCTCACATTATCATTGTCTTACCTGACATATTGTGGTTATTACTCCAGATATGCTGAAGCCTAATGATGAGAGATGCCTTTTATAACTGCAATACATCCATTGTAATCAAGCGCTACATTTATCTTACTGCATTACTGAGTCTCTGGGCTTTGTACAAATGACACAAAGTTGTTGTGAGGATCTATCTGTGTCCTGCATCTCAATTTTCAATATGATGTCTCATTTCCCACTGATGTTAATGGAGCCAGACTGAATCCCCGGCCTGGAAATCCTGAGAGGAAGACCAACAGCAATGAAAAGTATTTTCATTACAATAAAGGCCGCTTTTTAAAAAAAAGGGGGGGGTGGGGAGAGAGAACACCGCTCTTTTTGAAGGATATGGCAAAATATCTGTAGGATGATGTTCTGTATCCAATTTTACAGGTACCATTAATGGCAGTAGGGTAAGATTAAGTGATTATGCTCTGCCAAACAGTAAGCGTGGGAGAGCAGACAGCAGATGTCCTGCCACTTAGGCCTATGCCTTGTGCACCAGACCATGGAATGGAAACGTGTGTGGATATTTAATTGTTATTCAACTACAAGTTGCCTGGATTTATGAGTCTGGGAAGTGCATATGCTGCAGTGAGAAATGAGTGTTTATTAGCACAGTAGCTGTGCTGGCCTTTCCTGCAGAGAGCTAAAGTACCCCCGTCTATAGAAAATGGATTAAAAGGGGGCAGCATACCACTCATGTCCCATTTACCTTTGTGAAGTGCAGCTGGATAAATGCCAATATACAGATACATTTCCATCATGAACTCCGAACAGCTTTTACTGCTGCTTGTCACAGATACTAAAAATGCAGCAGCTGTCCTCTTATCAAATCGCAATTTGGAGAAATGTATACATAAATAAGGGGCATAAACAGGACTCATCCTTCAGGGCCAGCTACATGGATACACAAGATTAAACCCTTCAAGAGCTAGGTTAGGAAGATGAGACTGGTTGCCCTGTATTCAAGCATTTTTCCGGTGCTCGTTGCAGCAACCTTCTGTGGTCACTCTCAACATATCCTCTGTCCTCCTTGGTTCCTCTTCCACTACTCTTACCCATGACAGCATCCTCCAGGGCTCCTGCAGTCCCGTTCATTCCCTTCTCTGCCGTGTGCATTGCCTCCCGTCACCTCTCCAGTCAGCCTCCCTGATCAGGCTGCGTTCATCTCCTGCCCGTTCGAGGGAAGCACCACCTAGGAGTTGAGGTGGGAGGTTAGGCATAGAATAGCAGCAAGGCATCCCCCAGCACACCCCAAATCTGCAGCAAAAATCTGACATCTGTACTTCTCCCACTCGTTGCGGTTCCAGTCTCCATCCTCAGTGTCCAACTCTCCTCCTTTCCTGGGCTGGTATAGTTTTTGCTGAATTCATTTTCTTACAGTTTATTGAACTGCATGAGCACATCAAAGGGCCTGACAAGCACCAGACCTGCACAAAGAAAGCAGCAGGGCTGGGAGCAGAAGTGTCCTTTTTGATACCAGCAGTCCATTAGATTTGGCTCAGCTGCCATGTGATATCACTCCCTAGGTCTAGTTTCATCTGTGAAACAGGGAAGTTTGACTACACCGCTGAGAAGCTGTCAGACACTTCTTTTGTCTTTGCCATCCTTTGCTCTGCTTTTCTCTGTTCTAGAAAAATGCAGGAAAAAATAATCACGAGGGCAGTTTTATAGTGTCTTCCTTACCAACTCCTTTCTGCTCATCCTCTTCCTCTCCTGTTTCTGCCATTTACCCCTCCCAAAAATCTTGCTACTGTAATTCTCCGTGCTCCTGGTGACCTTGTCCTGCCATCTCACAAGCAACTGTTGACTTCTAGAAACACACTCCTGATCCAGGATCTTTTTCCTTACAAACACACTGCACAAGCAAGACAGACAAATGAAGGCCTCCTTTCTCAGGACAAGCATTTTAAAAAAAAAAAAAAAAAAAAAAAAAAAAAAGTATTACACAATCCACAAGACATGCGCATTACTCACCAAAACAATCACGGGTATCCTATTTCTGCAGCCCTGCCTCTCAGTGCTTGTTTCTTTCCAGTACCGTACCAATGTACTGAAGCCAGGGCCCAATAACAACTGCGTATGTGTAGAACTAAAGCCTGCAATAGAAGGGAATTTTTTGTACAGCTATAGTAATGATCAGAGGCAGTCCTACTGTGAAGGATAGAAGTATCTTGCTGTGTTTCTTTTATGATGTGGTCTGATCATTTACACTGTTGAATTAATAAAAATAACAAGATAGAAGCTTTCCAAATGGAATACATTGCTATCTGTTGTTCATTGTTCCATTCTTACTCCACATACATTAGGAAGTGCGCATTATCTGATAAATCAGGACATAAGAAACAACTAAATGCCTTTATGTTGTAAGAAAAAAAAAACCTTTCTAGAAATACTGTAGAAACATTCACATCCTCTATTTCTGTCTTTTATAAAGGCAGCCTGTGTCCTATTATCATCAAGCAAAAAGTAAACAAATGTAATTTAATCAGTTCTGTCTTTCGTTGATTTGCATCAGCAAGAATAAAAGACAAAAGGCAGAATGGAAAACAGCAGCTTTGTGCTAAAAGTTTGAATGCACAAAATACTTCTTTCTCCAGCTGTCAAACATTAAAAAACGCTATGCACACCAGTAATAATAAAAGTGTCAAACAGTTGACCACAATGGGAATCACAATGCTTCATTAAAAGCTCTAAAGCAGAGCAGAAAAGCTTCCAGCCATTTGTTAAACAGAACTAAATGCTAAGACACTTTCAAAAAGTGTCAGAAGATGCTTTCATCTAGTCTAGCCAGTCAGATAAATATCTCCTTGCTTACTTCAGCCCGGCCCTGGAGCTCGCACCCATTCAGCAGTAACAGCTGTATGTGCCATTTGCTTTCCTGAGACTGGGGCATCTCTCCGTGAAACAGAAAAGGTTAACGTCCTTCCCAGCGATCAGGCCTTCATTCCATGTGGTGCCGGGATATAATCAGTGATTTTGTATTTACATATGTAATTATGCATTACTTGGAGAACCTAACCTATTTGTTCAGCTGACAGGCGATGTTGTGATAAGGAATTTCAGCAGACAGGATATTTATAGACCCTTTATCTCTATGTAGAATCAGAAGTAAAATGTCAAACAATACCCCAAATGAAGGGTTGTTTCAGTTCAACTTTTCTCCATTGTTGCTTTTCCCTCTTTTTTTTCTCCCTCTGTCTGGTTATTGCCTAAAACTTGGCAGTGAGAAAAAAAGGGAATGTGACTCACACTGACAACTTCATTTGCTGTAAGAGACCTCGGTAATTGCTCTAACCCACTTACAGGAAAGCTACCCCTCCTCTTTCTCTCGTCCTCCACCCTTAGATAGACAGAGGCCATATTTGTAACAGGAGCAGCCTGGCTGATCTCAGAGGTCATGCTATCACTTACGAAGTAACCAGGCCTCTTTCTTTTCACTTTTCTTCTTCTGGATTCAAGTTAACCCCTCATGAGAACTTAAAGCAGCTTCAGTTGAAGGGGCAGCTTCCTGCCACGGATTTCTCATGAACCTAATAACCAGGGTTTCCAAAGGACTCACGGCTCAAACGCGGCAGGGTTGAAGTTGGCTGCTCCCATGACATGCACCAGCTTGGCAGCCAGCACCGCAGCTCCAGGATAAAGCTACCGAGCAGTCAAACAATTGTCGCCTTTTCCTTTTCTTATGGGATGGGGGGCAGGGGATGGTAAATAGGAACAGGAGAAGAATCAGCACAGATGCCTATGCAGCACTCTACCAAAATATATTTTCATTTTTAATTACATAATCAACATAATGAGAGTGGCATTCGTAGTGAGGGGGTGGAACAGATGGCAAAGACTTAGTTTTCAGCAAGACATTAATTAACAACAGCTCTGGTTTCTGCTAGAAAAAGGAGGTTGTTCTGAAAGGGGGTTTGTTCTGCTCTAGCAGGGTTAAGACGGGTGCTTACTACAGAGGACAAAATTCAGTTTCCAAACACAGAATTGTTTATCTTTTTTTTTTTTCCCCCCCTGCATCCCTGTTGAGATTTCTAGGATACTCTTTAAAACACAGCAACATCCTACATGCGAAGCCTTATTAAAAAACAACACAAGTTTGGGTCCTAGCAGTAGCTTGGGATTCTCCTTGCAAATGCTTCTGAATGCTCGGTGGACATATAAATACGAGAAGGAAAGGGAAGAAGAGTTAATATGATGAAGCAAGAATGCTTTGTGCCACTTAAGATGCAGGTGAGGCTTGTGTAATATACAGCAGCGTCACAGAGATATGGTTAAAGTTAGAGGTTTCTTAGATGCTTTACTTGAAGTTCCCTTTCCCTTTTCCTCTCTTGCACACACTCAGACTTAACATTTTCAGCACACTGATGCAGCCGAGTTGGAAAGAGCTATCCCAAGGAGGACTGAAGCAGAAAGTAGCTATGGGAGATACTTACTAAAACCACAGGCAGAGAATCTATCACCCAGACACAATGAATAGGGAAATAGCATATGCAGCCGAAAAGTCTAGCCTCTATTTTCTGTCTGATAAACTGTCTGGAAAGCCAGGCACGCTGAATGGCCCCTGCCTTCCGGCGGCATTTCCCCTGCCTTTCCCTCCCTGCTGGCAGCATTTCCCCTGCCTTTCCCTGCTCACCAGCAGCATTTCCCCCTGCAGGCCCTGTCCCTTATGCAGTAAATAACCAAGCATACTTTGCTATCAAATCTTATTAAACCACTGTCGCATTTACCATTGAACCTCGTTAACTCACTGGTTTATATCGGCAAAGTATATTTTTTGCTTCTCTCTCACTCCATCCGTGGCAAACTGGCATAGTTGGCAGGATGGCAGGTAGTATCACTGATTATTAATGAAGGCATGGAGTGAATCCGGGTCCCAGCTTCCCTGAAGAATGGGCTCGAGACAATTGGCATAATTGGGAAGCCGTTGAAGAGCTGGAGATGAGGAACGGGTTAGCCCTTGGCATTCCCAGAGCCTGCTGAGATTCAAGGTCAGCCTGCTGGCATTACCTTGAGCTGAGTTGAAGCATTCCAGAAATGAGATAAAGGTGAAAGGAAGGAGCGTATTTCAACTCCTCTGGCACCAGTCCCCAGAAAGGGAAACAACCCCTTCCTTGCCCTTAGGGAGGAATTGCAGGACACGAAAGCAAAAACAGAGTAGTGTCTGGAGGGCAACTGGGCCTGCCTGTCCGAAAGCGGAGGCTGGTATCAGCGGGTAAGTGATGGTGACCCATGTTTTAAATCCAATCAGTCCCCAAGGACAATTGGTAAGGATTTTAATAGATGTGGGAGCACAGATTTCACCATTAAAACAACAAGAAGCGGAGAAGCTAGGCACACCATCCGGATGGCAAAGAGTTTTGAGATGACCAGTGTGAACAGAGTGAGCATTGGGTGCCAAACTGCCAGGGTCAAGGTATGGCGACAGCTCACTTTGTAGTTAAAGCTCATCATGAAATTATTTTAGGTTTCAATGTTTTACACGGATAAACCTGGCGCCTGCTGAATGGCAGCGTGGGGGCCCTCACCTCAAACATTGACCCCAACCCCAGCAGCAATTGGGGGGGCTCCAATGCAGGCACTGTGCACAGCCCCTGCCCTCTCCTGGTCAAAAAATCCCTGTTGTATTGCAACACCCCATTGCCACTGCAGCACGAAATGGGATTGCCAATGTCACAGCTGATCTGGAGAAATGACAAATTATCTCCAGAGCCCACCCCCTGTATAACTCACCAGTACGGCCCGTTTGGGAGGCAGAGGGGAGGTGGCGTTTAAGGATCGATTATCAGCACCCAGATGCTGAAACAGCCCCGCTGACCCCTGCTGCCCCAAACACCAAAAACTTCACAGCTACTTTGCAAGCAGCTGCACCCCCCTGGGTGGTGGTGCTAGACGTGAAAGAGATGTTCTGATGGTTCCCTAAAAGAAGGAGGATAAAGAGACATTTGCTTTTGCTCAGGCGGGAACACAGTACACCTTTAACAGACTCCCACAGGGGTATAAACATTCCCAGTGCTCACACCGCGCTTGCTGAGCGTTCACAGGCAGTCTCACTCCCCCAAGAAATGAGACTGTACCCATACACAGGCGATACCCTGACCAGAGGAACTTCCACTGAAACAGGTGAAGAAAATCCATCAGAGACAGCCTGTACAGACTGTTCAATTTACTAGAGGCAATCCTAAAAGGTACTGCTCCCCCAGAAGACATTGCTCAAAACCCCGCAGTGGGAAAACTACCTGACCAGAGTTGCAGAGAATATGCAATTAACTGAAGGGCAAAGTTTCCAAATGACAGATACCTGTAAACAGAGACCCTTTAGCATTACAGAAACCTTACAAACCTTCACCCATTCTGAATGCACTGCCCCTCACTGCAGGTACACTGACAGAAAACGTTTGGTTTACGGACACTTCAGCAAAAATGGTAAATGGCAATATAAGACTGTTGCATTAGATATTACCACTGGCAAACAAGTAATGGAAGAAGGTGAAGGCAGCGCACAAGTAGGAGAAATAAGAGCAGTTGTTTTGGTGGCACAGAATGGAGCAAAAATTATATATGTAGACTGTCAGTGGGAAACCTTGAACTGGGAAGTAAATAGATCCCCAGTTTGGAGAAACAGAGATTGGCAGTTATTGCTGGATATAGCCAGGAAAACACCTTTCAAGATGGGATGGGTAAAAGCTCTTGCTAAGGATAATCAATCAGCCACAAAGTGGAATCAAAAGGTAGATAAGCTAACTAAAATTAGGAAAATCACCTTAAATCCTGAGTGGTATCGATTGGGAGAATGGTTACATCAAAACCTAGGCTGTGCAGGTAAAGAAGCATTTTAGTTTGCTGCACAAAGGCTGGCCCATAAACAGAAAACTTTGTGAAACCGTTCTTACAGAATGTCCCCCGTGTAGATTGAAATTACAAGCAGACCATCCTGCTAAAGCACCACCTTTACATATCAATGAAGGGAAAACTTTATGTTCTACATGGAAAATTGATTATATCAGACCATTAAAATTCTCTGTGGGGTATTGATACATCCTCACAGGAGTGGAAGTAGCCTCCAGCTTGCTTATGGTGACTAAGTGCCTGAAAGCCAATGGGCAAAATACAGCACGAGGGCTATCATTTTGGTTCTCAAATCTACCTAACTCCTGATGTCATCCGAACTGATAATGGCTCATGCTTTTTGTATAAGGAAGTACAAAATTGGGCAAAACAAGAGGGAATTAAATGGATATTCCACAGCCCATACTACCCTCCATCAAATGGGATGGTAGAAAGAGCTAATGGCTTATTGAAAAGGAATCTCAAACCACATGAGGCTCAATGGGATAAGAGACTTCCCAAAGTACTCCCTTATTTAAATAATTGATACGGGCCTACTGGAAGCCCTGTAAGCCAGGCCTTCTTTGTAAAAACTGAGCTTGGTACTCCACTTACTAGGAAAAGAGACTATCTGGCAACATTACAGTCAGGACAGCCTGTGATGGTCAATCTACCATCCATCGGTATTGCGCCGATGACTTTAACTAAACCTCATGGCCCACTGGCCTGGGAAGGTACCAATAGCAATGGTGCAAGACAGAATTGGTGCACAACAGATTTTTCTGTCTTTTTAACTGGGTAACTTGTTCAGACTCTCCCTGCTGAAACAAATCTATTTTCTCCTGCAGGATGACAAAAGGACAATGCTGCTTACACCCATTGCAGTCTTCTCTATTAGCACTGGGAACTAACCAATGGCTCTTACCTGATATATTACCTCAGTGGGAAAAGAAATAATAAAAGGGACAACCAATTGATTGTGGATGCACTTGGTGCAGCCCAAAATAATGTTTCTCTAGCTCTTAGTTATATCCAGGCTCAGCTGTGGACACAGACTATGGTAGAAGCAACTATAAATGAAGGTGAAGAGGACACCTTACCCACTGAAATTCAAAAGGTAATTTGGGATAATGTGACTATATTTGAAAAAGAATTCCAATCCCGGTGGTATTTAGTCTCACTTATGACCCTACCACCAATAAGGCCACATCTTTTGTCTTAACCATACACAATGCTCAGTATATACCCAGTCATTGCATTAGGATTAAATCACGATGGAATTATACTCTATCCATTAGAACACAGAGTGTGGGCCCAACAAAAAAGAAACAAATGGCAAACTGTTGATGTTAATGCATATGTTGTACGGGAGCAACAAGGATTGCCTTTGCATACTGAGCATCGCCAACCTGCAGGATTGCACATGACTTGAGCCTCCATCGGTTCATGTTGTGTTAAACCAGAAAAGGGCCACAGAGAGGAACTCAGTAACTTGCATACATCAGATGGCAGAGATTCTTTGCAGGATGATTTTTAGGAGAAGTGCCAGATCACCACAACTGTGCTTAGGAGGTGCAAAGTAGAGGAAAGAAAAGAACACCAAAAAAAAATTGTATTCTGCTTAGCCTGTCCTCCTTTTGCAGGGGTTAAGAGGGAGATACGAGAATCAACAGAATTGCATTTGTACTTACAGCTACTTTACTGGGAGGAGAGATGGGTGACTAAAAACCCTTTGCAGACACTACCTTTAAAAAACATAAAATCAACACAGGTTAACTCTTCAAACAAAACTAAAAAGAAAAGCGACCAGCAGATGCACAGACAAGCACTGACTTCAGTGGAGCTGCAAGGCTGAATTTGGCTTGAATTCTGTGAAGCACTTTCAAAGCAGGAGCATACTGCATACAAATGAGCGTTAAATAATTTGCATCATTACAAGAGCTCTGAACAGCTCATCTGGACTTTGAAAAAAGCTAAAGCAAATGTACATTGTTTGAATACCATCAGGGACAGTCACTAGCTAGCATTAAGACATCTTAGTGTATTGACACTTAGTGCTGTAATAAGAGACCCATCCTCCTTTCCAGGTTATTTTCTTTATTGATTTGTAGAATTTCTTATACACAAGCTTTAGAGTGCCACAGAGCTCAGCAATTCATGTAGGAATATCCATTAAGAACTATACAATTACTTCTTTTTTTTATATCGCATCTTTTAATTTTTGTTTTAAGAAATGTAGTCCTGTTTGGTTGTAGATACCATAGACAACTTAAACACCAATGTATATCAAAGAAACAAAAGCACAAATAGTTAAATCGATTTATCCAGGGTGACACAGAAGGATGCAATGTAACAGAAACAGACTAAAGGGTCTGGATGCCCAGTTTTCTGGTTTAACCATTTCACTCAATCAGCTCTAAGCACAGCTGCTGTTAAGACTATGACAAATTACGGCCTCATACTCTATCTGAAATGCTTGAAAGCATGTTTCAGAAGTCTCCGGGACAATATAGAACAGGTCAGGTGAAGAAAGCAAGTTGTGCAAAGAACAAAAGGTACAATATAGTTTAATATGGTTGAAGGTATTCAAGCTGCAGGAGTTGACAAGTGATGGAATACTGAGAGCTAAATACGTGCAGCAAAGTGCACAGGGGGAGGCAGGGGCAGGCAACAGCCTACGGGCAGTAGAAGGGGAGCTGGAAGGAATCTCTAATGAAGGCAGAAATCATTCTGGGTGACTCAGAATATTGGTATTCACAAAGAGAATTGAGAACAGGCAAAAATAAATAAAGCTGAAAGCAAAACCCAAAGGCCAAATCTCTCTCAATAGCCAGAACACTGATATAATCTGAGCAACCAAACAACAGGTCCTTGTGAAAACCTCTCTCCCGCTATTTCCTGCACACCAGCCTCTCTCCACGGCTGGTGATGGCTGCAAGCGGCTCCCACTGCCCAAGCCAGGGACCTTTGCAGGCTGCTGTTGTACCGACACCATTTTTCTTGCAAAATGCAGCCCCGGTGGTCTCCCCTCCACACCCCCAGCCCTTGGCTTCCCCGGAACATCTCAACTAGCGCATTGTGTAACTTCACAAACTTCCCTTGAGCCCGGAGCCGCTCAGCTCGGCTTTGATTAGCTGCCAGCTTTTGTACATGTCACAGGCACACACACTGGTCACTGGCAGATTCCAAGTAGCACTAGGTTTGTTTATGGGTGGATTTATGCTACCCAACTTCCAGATCCTGCTGCCATCAGCCCAAAACGTATACACAACAGCATTTAACTAAAACCACAAGTTCTACAAATTTTATGGTGGAGACTGAAAAACAGATTAGTTCCATTTTTTATATGTGTGATGGATTTTTTCCCTTCTTTTTTTTTTTTAATTTTTCATTAAAGAATAGTCAAAGAAGTGACAGTTATGTATATTGGAACTGAGATCAGTAAGACTGAAGAACAGGAAAGACTTCCCGACAGTGAGATCTATTAGTCAATGGAGTAGTCTCCCCAAGGATGCAATGGGAGCACAAGAAGTGCTTTAGCAGAGCCAATATTAAGTGCTCCAAGTGATGCAGCCAGCTGCTAGAGGATTGCCATGAGACAACACGGCCTTCAGCAGTGCAGGATGCCTGCCATTAGCCTGCTAATGCACATCCTGGCTTGGCCGATGGCTATTTGGGAATAGCTCATTGACTTAAAATTTCATTAACAAGAAAATATTAGAAGACAATTTTCTGAGGGTAGGGGTAGGCCTTTGCAGCGTATCTTCCCACTACAAAAGGTGATTATTAGTAGGGGGAAGTAACGAACAGTTTTCATTAGTATTTGTATTAGGATTTATTCATTAACCTTTCCTTAAACTACTTCAAAGTAAAAACCACCAAACTGCTTGGATGCCTTCTCCGTCTCCTCTACACTGCAGAAAACAGCCACTTTCCAATCTCTTGTGAGCATTATCAAATAAATAAAAAAGTAAAAGCCATCAGTTACAAAGGGGCTTAAGACTGAGAATACAGATCCATAATTTCTTTACCTTAGAAAGCAGACAAAACCAAGACACAAACTGAGATGCTACAATTAAGGCAAAAACCAGCCTTATAAACATTTCCAGGAGGGAGAACATAGTGAGGGGAAAAAAGTTAGATGAAACTGTTTTTCAAAGGTTTTAATGTCAGTCCAGAACCAAGCACTCGAAATGCTTTCCTCATCATCTTCTGGTTAGTATGCACTGCACTGCGTAGCAGGAACATTGTTCCAGTGGTTCAGCCAGCAACTGCCAAACACACTGTATTTAGACTTTAAATGTGACCTTAATACTGTATGCCTAGGGTTTGATGTTTACTTTAGTGTCCTCATCAATCACCAGTAGAGGCAATCAGCTTTAGATTGGTAGCAAGAGGAAGGTCTGTCCATGTATGATTTCATATTTCTAACATTTTGCAGAGATGAAAATCCATTGAAGGGTGGGACAGAGAGAGGGAGAGGATTATGTTTTGGTTTTAAAAGCAGACTCACCAATGCAACAACAAAGCCTGCCTACACTGTTGAATTTGACCTTTGCCTCAACTGCAACGATTCGTTTCTTCAGAAAGATATGAGACTTCAGGTGACTGATACGATAGAAAGGGGGAATTGGCAGAGCCATTTCAGCTTGTAATTAATTCGCCCATCTCGAGTCCCTCAATAGCAGGGGTTCAACAGGAACAGTGCTAAAGGAGCTGTGCTCCAGGGAGTCTTTTGAGAGCCAACACTAAGGACACAGTACCTTTAAAGACCAATGACATTTGGCCAGTTAAGTCTGTCAGGAAAAACTCTTGACATGCATCCACGCTTCACCCCATGCCAGTCATTCCAGCTGCTGGAACAGTTGTGTGGAATTAGCTGCATCAACAGAAAGCAATTGGGTGAAATATCTGATGTCAGTGGCCCAACTCGCATTACCTGCGCCTGTCTGTAACCCAACAATTAGATCCATCATTAGCAGCTTGGCTTAATTATAACTTAGAACTTCTTCAAGCATAGACTTCACACAAGATTTTAAATGACTACAATTAATTATAGAGAAAGCCTTAAGTGTCTTCTGGTCCATTGTTCAAAATTTTTTTCCCTTTTCCCACACTAACACCAGAACTTGGTTTCGTAAAGGAACTGGGCTGTAGGCTAAAAGAGAGGTATCTCTTATAGCCTGATAAACACAAAGAGAAATACCTTTTAAGTCTTATACAGAGAGAAACAAGACTGCAGATTTTTTTGATCTCAACTAAGAGATGCGAAAAGGAATATTATTCTAACCTAGACTTGTATAGTCCCATTCCTTACATGAACGACCTCTTTACTGCCTCCCATTTAAAAGGCTTTTTGCGCTCTCCCCAAGTTACTGCTGTTGGCCATTATCGGAGATCTGGTATTGGACAGCTGTACCTCAGCCTGAACCAGCTACTTGAAGTTTAACCAGTAAAAAGCAAAACACAGATTTAGTGCCAGAAACACTGCAACTTCTTAAAAGATACGGGGAAGGAAAGTATTATCATGCAAAGAAACTTTTCCCACTCAGCCTTCCAGTGCCTACCTGCAAGATGAAAATATTATAGGAATGAAACAGCATGCAGAGGGCTCTTTTGAACAATCTGTGGCAATGGGCAACATCATGTATCTTTTCTTTCTGCTTTTGGTTTGCTTTGGCCAAAGGAAAGAGGGAGCCCTCTAGGGGTAGAAACAGAAAGCCCTGAAGGAGTATTCGGGCACCTGCAGAACAATTTTCCTTTTCCACGCCGAGACCCTCCTGCCTTACCTTGAGATGGCAGCAATTTCCGGTCGTGTGCAAAGGCTCAGAAGCTGAAGGCCTACACAGAAAAATCAGGCTGGGTAGAAGGAGGTCACAGGCTCTTTCCTGGAAGTGCTTACTCTACAGCCTAGAATATAATGGGGGAAGTCAGTCTCTCTTCTATCATTTGTGCAACCTTTTTCAGGGAAAACAGAGCATCACCAAACTGCAGACTGAACTACTGTAGCTAGCTAACATAGCTAGAATTTTTCTTTTAGGCTATGCAAAAGACTTGGTTTTGCCTTACTATATGCCTGAAGCATACGATGAACTCCAGCATACAATGAGCAGGTTTACGTTTGTCAAGGCACGTTCAAAATATTTCTTTCCAAGAGCTGCTTCTATATGAAAGCTAGATAAAAGCTGCACCATTTAAACATTTAAATATTGTCCCATTCTAATGAGAACTTAAGTTTCTTTCCAAGCAGCTCAGTGTAACAACACCAGAACACGGTAAACCCAAACTTCAAAATATTTTAACTCCAGTAAAAAAAACCAAAATACAAGTATCAAAAAGCATCTAGTTATAGTGCAACAGGTAACAGATTTTGTTAGATATCCAAACCAGAAAAATTCAAGAACAGCTTCATGCTTTGAAAAAAACCAAGGTATTTTTAATATAAGGGATGTTGACTGTAAGACTTCTGCACAGTAACATATGCAAAACTGCATTATCAGTTTGGTGAAACAGGTAAATGCCCATTACAGTCTCCATGCATAATTTACAAGCAACTTTCTGCATGACATAGTCAAGGTTATGCTTGATTTCTTAAAAAAAAAAAAAAAAAAGAAAGAAAAAAAAAAAGAGAAGTAACATGAAAGCCTGTCATCTACGTTAGTGCTACTTAAATAGCAAACTCAATCTAGATGCAGAAAATGTTTTGTCTGGCTCTCGCCAAAGAGCAGAAACATGTGAAGTCTGGATTACTAGAGAACAGCCCATATTTGTTCAAGTTCTCCTAGCCTCTGAAGAGGCACTTCTGCTCACTCCATTTCCCAGGTGTAGAGGACAGGCATTTCCAGACTGATCTGGTAGAGCTGAAGAATTCATTTCTGTATAGCAAGCCCAAATAAAGTTTCCTAGAACACCTGGATGAAACCAGCAAATACTAGTCAAGGCAAACTGAGCAGCTCTACAATAATTAAATAGCCCTTATCTGTGTTGTAACAGTCACTAATTCAGGCTGAAACAGAAACATCTGCCTCATCACCACTGCTATTTCATTACTTTCTACAGTCTAGGAAATGAGTGGCTACAGATTTTACAACACATTGTCCATGAAGAAACATACATCAAATGGGGGTGGTTAAACGGATCATGAAGATTTGTTATTCCTTGCTCAAACAATTGAGGTGGATAATGCTTCTGTGTCATGAACCCCATCAATGGCATCTAATTTTAGCTTCATGTAGCTTTAAATCAAAGCTTTACATTCATTTCCATGGGCTTATTGATTGCTTCTTGCTCAAACCCACCAGCAACTCAGACTGTGGATGACTGATAACACAGAGCAGAAGGCTGGCTATGAGCCCCATGCTGAACACATGGTCTATTGGAGATCTGCTAGATGAAAAAAAACATTCATGAGTAAGATAGCACAGCCACCAGGAATCAGCAGTGTCTGGATCTCCCCTCCTACTAATCAAAAGGAGACAGCAAAGCCAACGTTGGGCACCAGCAAGGAGAAACAATAGTGATGTCCAGTCCTGTTCTCAACTGCAGCTGGAATGGGCTCAGATCTGTAAGACGACGGGAGCCTTGGTTAGGAAGTACCAAAGATTTCTACAAGACACTGGAGTGATTTTGTTCAGCTCTGTGTTGTTATCAGCCAAGAGTAGCTGTAGTTGCCTTTGGATGGTGGAGTTACCCGGATGATGGATTCCCATAGTTGCTTTACATAATTATGAAAGAACAGCAGCAGTTAGCTGTTGGTTGTGCTCCCTGGTGAGCTAAGTGAATCACGGTCTAAGAAACTGCTGCTAAACCTAGTCAATCAAATCCCCAACCTAAACTTCTCTAAGAATTTGCTACTTTTCTAGAGATTGTTACAAGTGAATTTTCACCCCTGGAATTCTTACTGTTAAAAAAAACCAAACAAAAAACCAAAACAAAACCAACAAAACATTTAGAATCGTGAAATGGAAGATATTTTCAAGAGATTTGACGTTTGATCAGAAGTAGGTTCAAGTATGCCCACAGCATCTTGAGCAGAATCTACCTGATGATTGATGATGGTTATCCTTATTTTTGTATTTCAAGAAATACCTTGTATGCGTCCCTCTGATGCAGCATCCTGGGCTCTTACTAGATTTTAATTCTTCTTCTTCACTAGAATAAATACAATAGCATTTAGACAAACTGCCTAAATTACTGCATCTCTCAGATCCTCAAGACTGTTAAAGCTTGCTTTTTGTCGAGTCTGCTATCTCTGTCCTGCCCTCCTTACACCTTTCTTGCAGATACGAACACCAACACTTCAGAAATAATCACACAGATTAGCTTAGCTTCCAAGCCATCCTTCTATTTTGAAAGTTACCATCCATCTCAAAACTTCCCCTATGTTCTGTAGTAAATTAACCCTAATGTACTCCAAGAATTCACTGTCCATCCTTCCACTTCAGCAGTTAAAGACCACTTCTTTAACAACTATGCAAGTAAACAACAAATTGTCACAATCTCCGCTGCAACAGGGACTTTCAGATCATTATCCCATTGCTGTAGGACATTAGGCAGTACACCAAACTTAACCTGCATTATTATTGTTGTTCACTGATAAAAAGAACGGAAGAAGACTTAGATCAAATAAATGAATTAGAGGTACACGGTCCATTTCTAAGATGGTTTTAGTGACATCTTCTTTTCATGTAAGCACGCTCTGTGATCCCAAGGATCATCCCTTCTAGTGCACTGGTCTCTTTTCCCATAAAGACCCAATGGAAGAAGGTAAGATTTGGTGACAGGATAACCACTCAAAGACGTGCCATATGACCGCTGAGGATCCAGCTACTTGAAGTATTAGAATGAAAAATACATTTAAGAAAAGAAACAAGCAATGCTTCAAATCACTATACTTTATTAATACTTCAGAAACATCAGATCCTACAGTGGAGAGTTCTTATCCCCACTTGTTTCCAGTCACTGCTTTGAAACAACTTCTTGCAATATGCAAATAGAGACATGAGGCACTGTGTGAATACAAAAGTGACAATACAAAAAACCCCCAACAGTTAAACCTCATGCAATACATACACATATATATAAAAATATGATAATGTAGCATAATACACACAAGCACTATTAGAACAATCCATGTAAATGAATGTACAATATGCATAGCATTTAATGATCAATGACAACAGGTTTCTGACCTGTACGCAAAACCAGTCATCTTAAATAAGTTTTCAGATACTAGATAACTGGTTAAACTACAGCTTATAAAACCTGCTGTACTGCAGCTTTTCTGCTCAGGGTCACAAGTGCAGATTAGCATACAAAATAAATAAGGACTACAATTCTACAACACTTGGCTCCTATTTCAAAGACACTGGCCCTCCTATTTTCATTCAAGGTTCATTAGCCAACACAGTGGCAAGAAATGTGCCTAAAGCAACAGTTCTGCTCTTGTACTATTTTAATACTGATAAGAACACGTATTTTTAAGTCAGCAGGAGTAGTTACACAGGTCTAACTTACCACTAAATAAGCACAGGATTGAAGTTATTGTACAGAGCAGACACTGAAGAATTACACTGACTGAAAGGTTGATTAGCCACGTGGTACGCTGCCTTTACCAACCTGTCTGTTCAGTCAACTAGGGCAAGAAAGAGAGAGAACCAAAGAGGTGAAGAAAGTGATAAAGCTTTTTTCCCCACTCTATAAACAGTGCAAATGTTTGAAAACACAAACGATTTGCAGGAACAAGGAAATACGGAGACAAGAATATTTCTGAAGTCCTGTATTCAGGATAAGAGCTACTGTTACCTGAAATAAGCTGAAGTATTCCTATGGAATAAGATGCACATAACAGGATTTTCTTCTTACGCATCCAGTACTGGTCAATGCCAGAGACACAAGAGTTGTTGTAGTCTCTTATCTTCCTAGCTCACGTGGTACTTCCTACACTCTTGGTGTTGCAGGCCTCCAAAGGTCAGACTACATTCACTATGAACACAGCTGAAATTAAAGTGATAAAGTAGCAACTAAACTGACTTAACAGCCAATGGAGTTTACAGTCTAAGCAGCAGCATTTTGGAGAGGGTGGCTGGCAGTGTAAAAGGACATAAAGATAGAAGAAAAACAAAATTGGTAAGAGAATAAGGAGACAGAGCAGGGCTGACTTTCAGAAAAGGAAGTTAACAGTAGTTAAAGTACTTAAGTAAGTTAAAACTACTTGAAGTTAAAACTTTATACTGGCCTTTTTTTTGCCAGTGTAAAGTTTTAACCCTCAATAAAACAAACATCTTGCTATTATTATACACAAAGGGAAAAAAAAGGAGGAAAAAAAAAAGAAAGCAGCATTAATCATCCAGTATTAAGCAGAATGCCTTTTAACAAAGTTAGAAAGGGCAACATGAAAAAGAGGAAGTCATAGTATTTAATTGCCCTGAGCAGGTCCCCATAGGATCTCTCTAGTTTCCTAGCTATTATCTCTTTATCCTTAGACATCCAAAAGGAAACATGATTCCTTAGATAAAAGGATGAACACTTCCTGCATGGAGTGATGGTCATACCTTCCAGCTCCATTTGCCAAAGCGACAAACCTTCCACATGTATTGCCACACAAACGATAATAAACTTCAAGAAGTGATCCACTAGATCAGGAAAGATCGATGAAGTTCTTGTGCATGGAAATCTAGAACCATTTAATCTTTAGTAAGTTCAGTACTTGCTATATTAATATCTCCTGAAAATAACTAATCAAGCTTAACCGTTGAGAGAAAATTCAATAATCATAATCTAACTGGTCAAAGCCCAGATACATTCAGCTCCTTAGAAAGTTAAATATATCTTCTCTCTTCAGACTAAAAAGCACAGATCAACAACAAGACATGAAACCCCGACTGAGAGGAGTTTGTTAACAAAATACAGCAGACATTACAAAGCAGCCAAATTCATTTGCTTAAAACAGTGGTTTTAAGCTGACAGTGCACTGCCAACTTTTCTAGGTTGCTTTTTTTTTATTCTATTGTTTGCATTCCAAGAAGCGTGAAAACATTTCTTTTCCTATTGATTTTGTCCTCTTCTGTTTGACAAAAGCTGCATCTTGCTAAATTTTCTATGCTGCCAACACAGCTGTCTTTTGTTTATTTTTGTGTGCACCAGCAGCAGCAGGCACAGCTTGGAAAACACATTAAACTAGCAACATTGAACGTCTTGTGGGGAAGGCTTGCGAGTGTTCAGGCTCTGATGGGTCACACCAAAATAAAGATTTAAGTGATTTTCTGTAAGATTTTTGTCTCCTGTTCTATTCAGAGATAAGGTTATCACAAGTGCTTACCAGTTCATTTTAAGGTAGTATTTTAAGAAGTGTCTATGGCAGATAGGTGTTCAGGTCCAGCCACTCCTTCATGTGTCCATTTTCAGCTGACATGATGATACCAATAGAAATAACTTTATCTAAAGTAAAATCCAAGAAATGTATTAAAACAAACCAAAACATATGCAGAAAGTGGCTGGCTTAGCTCTTAGAGCTTTCAAAGCTGCAAAACACTCAACAGGGCTGGCTCAATTTAGGAAAGCAGGGAGGACCAGCCTCTTGGTTTTGGTGCTGTCAGTTTTAAAGGTTATGACTAGCTTGGCAGAAAACCCATTGCTTTCCAGCACAACAATTCAGATGTAATCAGACCTGCTATACACATGTGTTAGAGAGAATGCACAACTTGCTGTAGATTGGGAAGTTTTGCACTCATTTGAAAGCTCATTTCTCTCCCCCTCCAACCCTTCCTGATCGACATTTTGACCCTCAGTAATTGTTTGCTCCTCAAAAAGGGGGAATGGACCACTGCTTCCTAGTAGGATTTTGTCTGATGGCATAGGCCCAATTGTAAAAGGGACAGCAACAGAACTAAGCAGGGAAATTTAATTCAGGTTTAACTAGAGCTAAATTATATATGAATCATCTGCAATCTGCTCTGTTGTGGCTAACATCCCCCCACCTTCTCCTTAAAGCATTTGCTTGATACTTCAGTACTATAAGAATAGAAATAGACCATATCTGGTGCTTTGCATTAAGTACCTGCATCCACAAGAGTACAAGTAATTTAACCGAGTCTCACTTACACAAAGAGTGGAGCTGCAATCTTAATTTAGACTTTAAGCAGCTCAACTGACTGTCTATACCCTTTACAGACTAAGGGCATTTGCTGGTTACCCTTTGTGCAACGCTGTTTAGAAATACCTATGTTCCTCAGCCACTTGTTTTGGAAGCACTTTTTTGTTAGTTTTTAAACGATCGCCTGGGAGAGAAGTTTCAACCCCAAACAGCTGTTTCAAGCTATTAAGTGAAAATGGGTTTTCCAGTGCAGACAGCCAACTTATCTCCAGAATTCAGAAAGCAAGAGAAGCACTCTTCCCAACATCCAACAAAAAAATAGAAATTTTAGTGGCTTTTCATGACAGAAAGCTAATAGCACTGGAAATGCTTTTAAAAAGAGCAGTATCTCATCTGACTTTGAATTCAGATAAGTGTCTATTAAATGCTATTAAAGTCATCACTGTGATTAACACTATTCAACTGCCAACTCTGCTGTAACCACTCCGTGCCCAATTACTCATCTTACGAGAGCTCACCAGCCATATCGATTCATTAACACGCTTCATGGCATTTACTCGTTGCAGCAGTTGCACAGTGACCAGTAACTGCATGTACTGAATGCTCCCTCTTAGCACTACCTTACACATAAGGATGTTTAGAAAAATCCATTTAGTAGCATTAGTTTCCAAGACAGCGTTGAGGGGTCACAGTAAGTCACCTTGGATGCTTTTACTGCGATTCCTTCCTTGGCTGTTTGAAGACAGTTACCACATCTGAGTTTTGCCTTTTTAATGGGTGTGTTTCTAATTCTTTCAAGCACTGGTATTTCACTCTAAAGAACTGACATTTGTAGCTCTATTTTCCAGCCCACTTCCTTTTTAAAATAGGCATTAATAATACTTAAATGCATTCCTGTCTCTCTTTCACTCCTCCGTCACTTAGAGGGTGGATTTTACTTAATTTCCCTCTGTTCTAAAAATTCTCCTGCATTAGTATCCTCTGTATTCTCAAAAAAAAAAAAAACCAAACCCCAAACCAACTCCCCAACAAATGTAATTTGTAAAATAGTAATCTTGTCTATGTCAGACCCAGAAGACTTCACAGTCTTAGGTATGTTTCTTTGTAGGAGACGGCGGAGGAGGGAAAGAAAGGTAAAAGTATGAATTACCCATAAGCAAAAGGGATGTTGGATACCCACTAAGCAGAATGACTAAAGCTAGTTTTCAATCAAGCGCAACACAAGGATTTAAGCATGCTCTGTTTTAAAAATGCAGGCTCCTTTAAGGAGCAATTTTTCTGATTCTGCAGCAACAGACATTCATTTGGAGTCTAGTAAAATATGAAAATGCTTTCATTTTTGATTGAGTATTTGTCTTGAATCCTTCAGCTAACTTCTACAGCTTCAACGATTTTGGCTAGACTCAAGAATTGTTTTTGCTGCAGGCCCATCAGAAAGACGACAGGGAAACAAGCAAATTAGTCTATTTGTCATTAGTCAATTTGACACTGGTGGACAAGGGTTAGTATATTGTAGATGACACTGGGAAGGCCCAGAGAGCGAGAGCATTCTCTCACCAAAATTACATACTCTTTTTAACCAAAGGAGGGAAGGAAAACAGAACAGCCAACACCAGAAATCCAAGAAGTTTTAAGAGGAAATATAAGAAAAGCAGATCAGTGCTGTAAATTCAAAACATAGCACCATTCCATATTTTGAACTATGTAGTTCAACTTCATACCTTCTGCTAGAGCTCCTTCCCCTCTCTCCTCACCACCCATACTGGTGACACTTCTTGTAACAGTGTTATACATTACAGCTGGTAACTTCTACAAGTGATACCGAGTCTCAAGTGAAGCACAAATTAGAGGTGCCTTGCCATCCCAAGGATAAGACCATCCTGATGACCATTTTCAATAAAATTTTAAAAGTGCACTTCCAAAATCCATACTTGCATCCTGTGTCATACTTTCATTCCTGATTTAACATCAAATCAAAATGTTGGGTTTTCACTTTTTAAAAAAAAAAAAAAAAAAAAAAGAAGTTTCCATAGGTTTTGAATAGGCTGTCAAGAATTGATAAGACATCTCCAAAACCAATTTTCCCTCCAAATAGTATTTGGAATTTTACTGTATTTACTTTATTTATTCTTCTGATAGGACAAAAACTGCCATTTTTTTGACCCAGCTACAACTCCTATAGACCTGACTGGACTTTTTAAAGCTAGTAAGAAGTATCTGAGAATTAGAGAAGTATTTTTTATCCCTGCTGAAATCTGTATGAGTTCCCAAAGACTATTCCTATCCACTTACATCTCAAAGAAATGAGGCACTAGGTCATTCAGAATGGAAATATCTATATAAGGGAACAGCTTTTCAGAATGTAGAATTTCTTCTGTAGAGCACAGCTTGACAATTACATTTTTTGATTACCACAGACAGCTTTCTAAAGGCCCATTTCAATTAGCTCCCATAAAAAAGAAGAAATCTATCAAATTTGAAACAAAAAGGGATATTCTCACATAGCTATAAGTATCCATTGAAAGACTTAAAGACTTTCTTTCCTTTGTAATGCAAATCTGCCCCAAAAAGGTTGAAATAAAAGGATCGTTACAAAGAATTTGGCTCATTCAGTTCCCTCCACATGTCTGGAATTTGGCAAATTTCAGAAACTAAATCATGCTAGGAACTTACCAACATTCCACACCTCCCTTCACGAGTACAAAAGCTTCCCTCGTTCTGATAAACCTCAGGTAGCAGTGAAATCAAACAATTCTGTACAACTCTTACTTATTAATAATGAGAACTATTTCCAAGACACCAAGAGGCACTAGTGGTCATGAGAATTTAGCATGACACTGAATATCTGGGTTAGAAATCAAAGAGATAGGAGATGGTAAATCCAAAGGGACTACTACGCAAGTCTAAAGGCTTCCTCAACTGAACTAGGTTCACTACAAAAATAAACACCTACCCTATCAGGCTGCCATCACAGAAAGCCTTCACATATTTTAAGACAGCAAAATGTAGGATGGAAAAGTGCTTGCAACCTTCTCAGAGCAAAAGCTCCTCTTGCATAGCAAACCAAGGAAGTCATGGTCCGAGTTGCTATGTAATGAGACGGCAGCTCACCAAGGAGTTTGTGTTAAACTGTACAATCATCCATAGTAATCCAGCAAAAAACCTCAAGCAACTGCATTGCCCCACACTAGCTAACAATTCAGAATTACGATGGGCATAAACAGTGCTGCTTTGTTCTTCCTTTTAGCCATCTCAACTCTTCTACCTAAATTTCCTCCCCTAAGCAACAGTAATGTTCAACACATTTTAATCAACAGGACTGACATATTGCAATGCCATGTGCTTCTAAATTAGGCATACAATCTTGCTGCCAGATGTAAAGCTCTTCTTATTTAGATACAGAAATTACTAACACATTTACCATTGAGCCTTCAGATCTTGTTGAGTCCTGCTAGCCAGGCTAGCAAGGCAAGACAAACACAACCAGAGGCTCTAGTGTGTAATGGATATAACAGTTGCACAACATACACATTCATTAAGATTCTTTCATCCTCACCTTAGCTTCACATCTCCTTAGAAAGTTATTTAGATACAAAAAGTTCATGAAGTATGGCCAAATTCACCATTTATTAATCAAAAACTGTTACTAAACTGTTTCTAGTTTGTGTTATTTAATTTTCTTGAGAAGGTCAGAAGTCTATTTGTTCTTAAATGAAAGTCATGATGACTCAGACTGTTACTTTATGATTAACTAACTAGAGCTTTTTGCATGGGGCGGGGGGGTAAGTCACAGTAAGTATTGTGAAGCTTTTACTACAAGCCACAAGATTTGGCAACAATGAAAGAGATGTTTTCTTGAAACCTAGTTCCCACTAAAATCATTCACAAAAATGAAACATTTAAGTGCATTAAACATTAGTAGTAATGAAATTAAAAAGTCACATTTTAAAAACACTATAAACTGGCTCACCAGAATATGATAGGAAGCCAGCAATCCTTGGGTGAAATATTTAAGGCACTTGAGGATAGTCAGTTTTTAAAACCAGGTAATAAAGACACAGCCACTTTAAAATTCTAATTTAAATAAAAAACACAACAAAATAAAGTAACACTGCAAAAAAATCCTCCAACTGTAAGGTTCAGTAAGTGAACACTTAGAATAAAAATAAAATTCTCCATTTGTTATAGTACACAAAAAGTGGCAGAAACAGCATATTTAACTGCTAGAGCATACATACTGTAAAGATCTCTCTCATGTACAACAATAAGGGGCCTTTCTTTTCAGGTTGACAAATAGCCAACAAAGCGTGTTTGTTCAGGAAAAATAATCCAGTGCAGTTAAATATTGGATTCCAGTTTATAAACCAGAGCATCCCAAAAATCAGCTGATTTTGTATCATGTCACCTGGGACATTTCTAGTCAGCTTTCTTACTTTTTTTTCTGGAGTTTCATTTTCTCCTCTCCATACGCACAAAATTAAATGTCTCTGTTTGAATAAACAGGCCACATCATTCTTGGAATATCATCTTTGGTACAAAACAAAAGCATCTTGCACAGCATAATGGTGTCACCCAGTCTCTCACACACCAAGCCAGTAACAATCTTTTTCTGTGATGGTGACAGCTTCTCTCCTCCCAGTCTCCAAAGTAACTTCACAATTAAATACAACATACAGTATTCTTTTTAAGCACTAAATTAAATTTTCAGTCAGAATTCACAAATGGGTATTCTTACCCATTAGCTTATACATACTATTGTTTCTTACCACTTCCAGGGCAGAGGGATATGACCAGCATCCCTGGGACACACACTTTAGAAGTCTGCTCCCAGAGATGAAATAGCTGTACAAATCTCCACGTCTGCTCAGTGTTTTTTGAAGGGAGGGGGAAGGAAGGAAAAGACAAATGAGAATTCAGTAAAAGGAGTCTTGCCTTTCTGTTAAATGTCTGTCCATTTGTCATTTTTCTCCTGATACGTTCTGCCTATTGTATTAGAGGCTTCTTCAGTGGAAAGCAGATCCGTACGTGAACTTAGTTGAATGTTCTGGATTAAGCTGATTTTGTCACTGTGTGGCTGCTGCCTCACAGCTGAGGAAATTAAAGGGTGAGCTCCGAGCATCTTCACCAGCCCCAAGGCTCTTAGGGTCTCTGAGACAGTCTGCCAAGATGTCCTGAGGATCCCTCAAGAACACCACTAGGACAGTGATGTTATCACTGGATCCATTTTCCTTTGCAGCAGCCACCAGTCTTTCTGCTGCTTTGAGACCCACTCCTTTGGTCTGCATTAAATGATCTAGGACCAGGTCTACAACCTCATATGGCTTGATAGCATCAAAGAACCCATCGCAGGCTAGGAGCAAGTAATCTTCAGAGCCTGTCAGCTCAAATGAATCTCCATCTGCATCACCAGAGATGTAAGGTTTCTGACAGATGTCACCTAAGACAGACAATCAAAACAAAGGCTTTATTACTTCAAATGTAAACAGTAACTTCTTCACCCACCAACTGCATTTACTGTCCTCAAGGGCAGCCAGATCATATTCCAGAGGTACCTGATGCAGGACAAGAGTAGTGAAAAGCTATGGAATAAGCATGGAAGGCCTTTGTTTCTTTAAGAATGCTTGGAACCTACCTAAATCTAGTGGGTTTCTAAGGAGTTACTCTTAATTCCTGCTTTCCTAATTTTGCAGGCAAACTAAGGATATTCTTTCGAAGTTTTTTCTCTCTGAAATATATTTGTGCAAAGAGATAGTCAGGCCTTCATTTTGTAGGTGTGCCTCTTGTACAGCCTTCAGAATGCTATGAAAATAAGATTTTTCTTAGCTATCCAGATGCACAGCACAATGCTGTAAGAATGTGCTCATTGTGTTTAGTTCATCAGTTTCATACAGACATACTTATTAAACATGGGTTGCTATTGATCCAAATAATATTATACAAACTTATACTTATTTTCTTCCACTCCTACATTAGAGTTGTCTACTGTACTTGCCCAGGGCTTTTTCTCTCTCGCCCTAATTGGTGAGTAGCAAAGTAAGCTCGTTTAATAAGATTCTGGAATACTACAATTAAAATGCCCTAAATTGCTGGGTATGTGTAATTTGAAGGAATCTGACTTAAGAACTGCAGTAGGGAGAAAGATATATTAATAATAAAGTGGTCAAAAACCCCCACAAAACAGACATTTAGACACATAAAGAAGGCTAGATGAACATTTATTACTTCCTTCACTTTTACAAATTAAATACTCTAGGTTTGTTAAGCTACTGTAGAACACCACAGTATCAAAAGACATCTACAAGAAGCAAAAGACTCAGAAGTACAAAAGAATTAGGACTGTCATGGCTAGTATGTAAAATGAAACAATATTCTACGCTTACAGTAAAACCAGTAAGACTATATAGCTGTGAGCTAGCCTTACGGCAAAGACAGGAAGAGTGGTTTACTGTTTGGTTGATGCTGAGCAAAATGCCATTTGCAGTAAACGTACAGTCTCAGGTGGCCTGTTTTAATTAAATTTAATCTGAACTATACTAATTCTGATGGTTTATCTTACCAATTGCTCTGGAAACAGCCAAGGTACCATTAACCCGCCAGCAGTCCATATAGGTTACACAACCACCCAGAGTCTCAATACGTGCCCTCTCATCCTGAAAAACAGTAGAATACAATTTTTATACTGAAAGCCTACCCATGGCTTACTGACCTTGTTGCTATCCAATTGAAGAGGAAAAAAAGACAAAACCCAAACCCAAGAGCTGCTTCAGCTTCTGTATTTATACACATATTAGAATCTAGCTCAGAAACACACACTTAAGATTACTGGAAACAACCCACCTACTTCCTGACCATACCATGGCTTGTCCACAAAAAAGCAGAATTCTTAAGTTTTTGTATCATCATATTCTTTCCCATATGGATGAGTACCCTTTCCTGACACTTCCCATCCCATACAGCATTTGGGTGAATATTTATATATTTGGAATAGAATACACAATAACTAGACTATGTAACAATAGCACTTGCATTGATACTCCTTTAACCACTCAGTTATTACAAATATTCATGCTATGAAGGCAAAGGGTCATGCTACACTATATCTAAACTCACAAGATCCCCATCCTCATTTAAAAGATACAGAAAATGCAATACTCTTTAAGCCAGTTAGGCTAGTAGATTATCATTCGCTTTTGAATGACCGTATAGCACATTATGGAAGACTTGCATTATGCTAACATTTTAAGTAGCTATTAATCTCAAATTAATAAGTTAATTTTTAACAGGCAGTTTTAAATTCACACGCACAAAAAATCCTGTGAAAGTCTTTAATTGATACAAATTTTGAAAAGACAGCCCGAACAGGAACTGGAGTCAGGACTAGCAGTACCATCAGTACTTTCAAGGAGGCATAGTTGTAGGGATCACCTTTTCAAGACACAGGAGCGGATGGAAAAAAAATTGTCAATTCTCTGAATCCTACCATAAAATAAATGTAATTATGTAAAGCACCCAACACTTAAGAAGGCTTGACTCCAAAGAGAAAAAAACCAAGTCAGACTTACTTCTCTTTCTGGTTTGTGAGGTTCCATTAGTGTCACAGCTCTTCCTTGCTGCACAAGCATTACCTGCGAGTCCCCTAGCCAGGCTATGTGTAGCTTGTTCCCTACAATCAATGCAGATACACCTGTTGTACCACTCCGCAGCTTCTGCAGAAGAAAACAGGTATGTTAGGTGAATATTCAACAAGCCCTGCTAGGTTACATGGCAATATTGTAAACCTAGGCTTAAGCACGCTTAAATGCGGCAGAGTAGACCTGCCAATCACAATGCAGGCACCTGAAAGAAAGCTACAAAATATTAGACAGACTTGAAATACAACTGTTTACATATTCTAACAAGCAGATGGCTAATATTGCCTCTGTTATATTCTTCCTTCTCTGCTATTAATTCCAAAACTGATCTAGAAGACTAAGACCTCTATTGTTCAAAGCACAGAGGCATGCAGAAAAGAAAGAGAATCTGAATTTCAGTAGTATGAACATTTCAAAAACAAACACAGGTCTCCCCAATCCCTTTTACAATCTTCACTAGCAACTACAGACACCTTGCTCTGCATACATGCCCTTATCCTTATGAGGATGTAAACAATGGAAGGAACCTAACTGTCCCAGATTCCCTATAAAGATCAGTGAGAGTCAGACGTCATGAAGATGCTGGTCCCTCTTTTGTACCTCACTGACAGAAATGAAGATATTAACAATGAATACTTCCATACTCAGTTATTGCTATAATAAAAGAGTTCTTGTTAAACTGTATAATAAACCACGCTCCCATTATGAAGATTTGAAGAAAGAACGTTCATCATACCAACTTGATTCAAACTGATCTACAAACTTAATGAACTGAAGAGTCTGATTTAAATCACGGAATACATTTTTCATCTTACAACCTCCTGTGACATTAATGGTGGGACAAGAAAAGAAGATAGTGACCATATTATTAGGAAGAAAGAAACCTCTTTTCCAGGTAAGAGGTGGGACAACAGAACATCCAGAGGCTGCCTAATTTAGGCAAAGGAGCAGCAGAGTGTTCTCTCAAATAATTGGTATGTCAGGATCATTTAAACCACTTAACACTCCTTTTCAATCACTCATCTTGAATTTGCAAGCACTGTAGTTTTGTTTTTCCTCAAAAAAGAAATAATTTGATCAAAGAAAACCTTTACATGTAGCATAATTTCATAGAGAAGCCAGTGATTCAAAGAAACTGTACTGCCAGAATTTTCTGGATAACACCATGTTGTCCAACAGTTCTCAGTGTTATTTAAATACAATAGAATTAATCTCTGCCCACTCACCTCTCTTTTGGCTTTGAAAAGAAACATTTCATCTGTCTTCTGGAAAGAGCATTTCAAGGCCTCAGCTGGATTCTTAACAATCTCTTCGTGTAGCCCAACATTTACATGTAAATGGGTTGCTGAATAATTGGCAGCATCCACTCCACCATGGCCGTCAAATACCGCAAAATAAGCACGATCAATGTCATCCTTTTGCATGGAGGGAGAGAGAGGAAGACACATTCATGTTCAAAACCAAAACAGCTCACAGACTGGTACCAGCAGGCAAAGATTCTTTATTCTGGGCTTTCTTCCATAAAACGTTGCGTAGGTAAGGGCAATTTAAGTCAGTTTACCCATGTACAAATGGGTAAAATGGGTACTTTGCAGGGTAATTACTTTTCTTTGTTTGCTGTTAGTCATTTAATATCCTTGAAAATAATATGGAATTCAAACAGCAGACAGCTGGTTACGTAGCCCCACTGCAGCTTCGTTAATTGGCACTTGGACAACTACTGTTCTCCCCACTTCTGTTCTTAATATATCAGTTTCCTCTGTCACAAGAACATTATAACTCCAGCAACATAACACTAGGTGAACTTCCCATCTCCCTATATCACTTATGACATGAAACGTAATGTCACAAGATCCTTCTTTATCAGGGCAGTAGCTAGTCCCTAGCAATCTGAGTCAATAAGTCCTTGCTCCAGCACAGACATGATTAACTTGTGGCAATAAATTCTTATGATTTCACAGATCATCCATCACTAGGTCATTTTGTTTACAGGACCGTTGAAATGCTAACAAACAGGCCTCCCCAATTTTGCCCAGACTTACTGATAAACCAAACAGCTGATTGAACTCTGGGAGCAGAACGTGGCGGTCCTCCATTTTCCGTCGAGTGTTACGGATGGCGTGGATGGAAACAAGCAGGAACCGCTTCAGTGGTCTCAGTGGTGGCAACTGCTTCTGCCACTCAGAGCAAACGTCCCGAAGCTTGTTAAAGAAGCATCGCTGTAATGACTCTCCATCCAGCACTGACAGCACAAAGACAAAACAGTAAATTGTGTGCCCTGTTTTCCTACATTACCCCATCTTTTGGCCTGTCTTTCCTTGAAATTTCTTTCCTTAGAGCTACATAAACACACTCAGCACTCTGCCTTTGCAGGCTCCGCAGAATTAAAATAGGCTCCTGAGAATAATGTGGAGAGAAAGTTGCAATGGAAAACAGTATAACATTAAGGATAAGAGCAGCTTCTTCAGTTACTAGTTCTCTTTCAAAACAGAGGCTTACCTTACAAAAATCATAACAAAGACCCAAAAATCAGTCTGGCATATTAGACATAAATGTTATTTTTATGTAAGTAAAATGCATAAGATAGAGTGGTAGGCGTGCATCCCTACCAAAAGAAAAAAAACAAAAAACCAAACAAGCAGGCAGAAAAGCCTTCAAGATAAGAGATTGTTGTTATCTTGGACACAAGGGTTGAAAAAGCATTAGCCTGGGTTTGGGTCAGGTTATGTCCTACTGAACCACTTCCACTGAAACAACAAGGAAGTCTGAGAATGTTTTGTTGAGGTCAATAGCTCAACTCATAGTTGAGCTGAACAGATTAGAATTTTAAGCTGTTGTCTTTATCTTTTTAAATACACGTGGTTGTAGGAGCTAGAGGGGCAGAAGAACACTTCCGCCACTCTCCTGCTTTGTCATTACAGAGCAGAACTGTAAACACCCATTGAGCATAGTGTGAAAAGCTCTGGCCAGACACTCAAATCCTTTTCTGGATAGGTCCCAAAGATCAATTAATCCAAACTTATTGTTCATCAGACTGAATGGTTTGGTGTTTGGCATTGTGTCTAGCTTTGCAATGCAGTCTCTCTCAGAGTAGGTAATATAAAGTTTTATTCATTTGAGTAAGAACCCTGCCTCCATGCTAAATCAATTAACTTCGAAAAGCATTGGAAAGATCATCTATAGAGCAAAAATGATTTGCTGGTCACTAATGTGTCTCCTAAAGAACGGCAGCACATGAACTATCGTCCCTATTTCTATTTTATCCTGACTAGCATTAAAGCTTCCTCAGAATTCCTTTTTATAACTCCTACTTCTCAAGCATTTCTTTTTCTCAGCCACACTGGATGGTCAGCTTCAGATGCACCTCTGGGCCTGGAGAATTGAAAGCTTAAACACTGATTAGCAGTCACTACCTATTAACCAAAACTACTTTTAGTTTGCTTAATATGCAGGTGCGAACAGGCAAGATATTAAAACCTTTAAATATTAAGTCATCCCATATACAAATATAATTAAATAAGACAGCATCTTAGACAGCCTTGTCTACAGCTATTAGTTTACATATTTGTAAATGTCTTGACTAATACTGACCAGAAGACTTGGACACACATTGCTGTTTAAATATTAAGCTCATGAAATCTGACATAGAACTGAGTACCCTTAACACCAGAAATTCTTCTGCAGCATAGCACATCCAACAGCGGTTCTCATACAGTCACACATACATACCTTGCTTTTATATAATCACTTCTCTTTCGTTCCAAGAACGCTTTTTTGTCAGAGTTATTATTGCAGTGCAGGAAGAGAGAGTCCATACTGTGCTGAGCACAAGGAACATCTTTCTTCCTAGTTGTACAGTTAAAGTGATATAATAGCAATTACAAGATAGGGAAAACAAGTACAGTCCAAACGTGCAGAGAAATGAATGCTTTTAAAGCAGATATTCCTTGCTGAGATTAGGCAATGCAAGTACCTGAAGAGTAAGCAGATTTCCATAATGTTTGATAGGGGAATGGTTAATAGCGATTTGATCTAAATGACAATGGCGACACAAGAACGAACAAACATAAAGTAGACAGGAATATATAAGGCGTTAATTAAAGAAGGCTTCAACCATCAGAATAGGGAAGGTTCTGGACATTTGTTAACAAGGAGTAGTGAGATAGAACCTGAACTAGTTCAAGATGGAACTGATCCAAGGATTTTCTGACTTTGCCTGTGCTATCTTAAAAGTAGACTCCAATTCTGTATCTTTATGGCCTTTAGAGTGAAACAGCAGCATGAATTATTGCACAAGTGTCACCAGTATTATGTAACCATACGGGATTCTAGAGACATTAGATGCTGCGACCAAGGAAATGTCCTTGTCCTATCAAGTTTTTCATTACTCACTGTTTCTAAACATTATAATTTCTTAGCTGTTCAGATGAGGTTCACTAACTGAAGGTCTGCGTGCCCAAGATTTTCACAAGACCAGAACTAGAAATTCTAATCCTAGGTTAACAAATACACAGCAGTTCACATCTTATATTACTGCTACAGGTCACCTCAAAGATAATTCCATGGGAGTCAATGAAGAGTCCCCAGCAGAGTGACTGGCAAGATGCTCTGATGACCAGTTTCCAGCTGCTTTATGAAACATTTGTGCTGAAAACCTAAGTCATTATCATATATGGCTTACAATACGCTGTTCCTTATTCTCCTATAAAGGTTGAGCTATAGCAAATAAAGATACACTGCTGGAGCACAAAGTCACAACACATTAAGATACAATTCTCTCTGATGTAAGGGAGACAATAAGAAAGATGCTTTTGTATCACTTTTGACAACGGTGTATCTTACCACATGCCTTATGGTCACTGCTGCAAACATAATATAGAGCTTCTAGTTACGGAAGATCAGTACCTTGATCTCCTTCAGTTTCCCCTGTACAAAGCCAAGCTCTAGCACTGCTGCCTGTGCTTCTTCTCTTACCACTGCAGTGATCTAGTCACGCAAAACTCTTATTTGCCAGCTCCTCATCTCAGGCAGTGCCGTGCTCCAGGTTAGGTGAATTGCAGTGAAGCCTGTGTGACTGCTCACAGACCAAGAGACACAACAGAACACCGAGTGCGGAAATCTGGCACCGTGCAGAGACTGAACTCAAAGTGACTGGAAGAGGCACACGCAAAAATCTCTGAAGGCTTGTGGAATGTACTCAAAGCTGGTTCTATACAGAGGTGCTGGGAGGCTCCAGCCCCAGCAGAGCCCAGCCTCTGTGCAGCCGCAGCTCTGCCAGGGGCTCACCCTCGCCCTGGCAGCAGGTTTGCTGATGTCCCTCATGCTGCTGCTGACATTGCCTGTGAACACCAACCACTGAATCATTTCTCCCGGCACCAGAGGAGGAGAGCCAGGGCATGTTGTTTACATCCCAAACTGATACAAAGCCAACTCTTCCCATTCAAAATGCTGGAAACGTGCTAAATCCCTCTAGACATACGAAGGCTACAAGCATTAAGGCAAAGGATGAAATATTTGGGGTGCAGCAAGACTTAATTAAATGTGTTCCCCCTCCTGCTGCTTCAGACTTGTAGGTGAATACTGAAATAGGCTTCTAGAAAGTGTGGTCTCCTGGTGCATATTGGAGACGCATCCTCTGGGGCATACTGAACTGTCTTTCAAGTCATCCCAGGGAAATGGAAGAGCAAGTATTTCCCCTTACAGGATAGGCCAGTTAGCCTAAGACATCACTCCTCCATTTTTATCTTCAACTCTGCCTGCATCCTGCTCCATTTAAATTCTTGGCACTGGGATTGAAGTCTAACGTTAGTTAGAAGTTTGGTGAAGTCTAACATTAAACACTTCAGCATGTAAATGCAATAGGACCATCTGTTACACAAGGCACAAACCCAGTACTCAGTCACCAAGGTCTGTTCTCTCTCCGATTCACTCAAATAGGAGAAAATTCAGGCATCGGGCAGAAGACAAACATCAGATTCTTCATCCCTCAGCATCCCGTCTTTATAGGGGAGGGTGCGGAGAGAAGAAATTGATAAAGACTGAGACTATTGAGAAACCTGCCAAGAGAAAGATCTGGAGTTTCGAGATGTTCAGGTTGTAGAGGGCCCAAAATCTGGTCCCAAGAACAGACAAAAGCAAGATGGATTACATGGATGAATTTAAGGTGTCAGTGTGGCTGCACAATAGCAGCTGTGATGTGATGATGCCAATGTCAAAACGTAGGAGCAATTAGCTAAGGTCAGTCTACCAAAGAGGAAAGGGTACTTAAAAAAAATATAAGAGGTTATCAACTCAAGATAGGAACTGAACCAGTTCAATTTACATGAAATTATCTAATGAGGAAAAGAAATATTCTTAACTAGTTCAGTTCAGGAAACACAGTGGACACAGTCACTAATTATTTTTGGGAAGAGAAACTCTCTCCCCTTTCCAGAAAGCCAACCCACACGATCAGTCCAGAGGCCCAGACACCACATTTGCATCTTGCCCACAAAACCAGCATAGCTACCTTTCATCCCACAGATACTCAGCAGGAGCAAATAAAGTATTGTTCACTCCTGCTTGCCAGACAGCCTAACCAAATATCCTGGGAAACATTTCAAAATACTGAAGTCTTCCAACAGACAGCCTCTGGGAAAACCACAGAAAAAACCGTATACTTACAGGTGAACCTTTCCTCATCTCCTTCTCCCTCTGTTTCCACACTTTGCTGCTTAAATTCAGTCAAGTCTGTTTGGAGGACTTCATCAACTGCAGCATGGATCAATGACGCTGCAAGAAGTGGTGAAACACCTCTGCTGGTAAGAAAAGGAAGGGAAAGCAAAATAGACTGTTAGTTTAAACTGAGCTACAACCTCACTGTTTATGCCTGGTGACCTCAGAATTAGAAAGCATTACACACAATCAATAATTCCAATTTCATTAGTAAACTAGTAGAAGCAACCATATGTTCAATATTTATTCATACAAATCTTTAGTAAGATCTTCAGTTAGACAACTGCTTTCTCAAGAATGCAAAGAGGAAGAAGCGTATGAATCATGTTTTCAAACTGTTGCCTCACACTCCAGCCGCAGATGGTACCTCCTTCTCTCGAGCTCTCGGATGGAAACTGCTACCTTCAATTCTAGCCTCTGAATGCAAACATTTTGTTTCTACTCACTAGGCAACATTTCTTGCTTTCTGATCTCTGCATTGTGGTACATGCAAATCTCCCAAAAGGTTACTTAAGATGGCAGTTCCCCTCCCACCACAGGAAAAGCCATGCTCAGTACTGACCTACAGCCCTTTAATACTCAGTTTCTCCTGACTTCACCCAGGATGAAGGTGCACAGAGTTGACACTGGAGACTAGGCTGAAAAAAGACTCCAAGACCAGCAATTCCGCTGAAGCTTTTAGGTAAGCATCTAGAAGACAATAACACTACATGATCTACACACCCTCTCCTTTTTATTCAACGCTTTATAGGAAGCACCTACTTGCTATACTGCTTTTGAATCTGTAAACAAATAAGACCCATCCAACTTTAAAATGGGACTACTAGAAAATAACTCTTTTATATTCACTACATTCCCATGGCAGACACTAACAATTACAGTGCATAACACACATTCCAGACATTTTCTAAGAGCACAATGAAGAATAAGCGTGGATGTCCATAAAAAGCATTTTATCTGTTGTTCACAGAGCATTTGATACCCACAAAGTATCAAATTATACAACCAAAGTAAATAACACATTAAGGCACCTGCAGCAAGTCAAGGACAAGACTTCGTTTTGCCAGGAAACATTTAGGAAGTCCTGCATAAAACTGACTGGCTACAGAGTAAGAAACAGCAGAAGCAACTGGCCTCTGCAGAGGTTCAACAGAGATAACTGGTTCTCTGCGTACAGAAGAGTGGGGAGGGGAAGACCATGAGGTTTCAGATCCCAGTGACAAGAAGCTGAAATGCATTTGCCATTGTGTTTCTGAAAAAGAGGCCTTGTCACATCCTCACAGCCATGTATAAGTACCTCCTGTGGCAGCAAACAGAAAGCACTGTGTTAGTCAGCAGGCTGCTAAACAGAAGCCTGTTTTATGCTACACATTCCGTAGCCGTGATGGCCTACTTTAATGAGTCATTTCAGTACTTCAAATAGATGGCAATGTGTTTGCAGTCCTTTCAGTGATAGCTGCAGTCATATCACATCAAGGAAAAGCACAAATTGGCGCTTTTTTTTTTTCAGGCTAATGTGTTGAGGGGAGTCAGTTCCTTTCCTACCCACGTTAAAAGTAACAATGCCTGCTTATAATCACTCTGACACTAACAGACAACCTTGTAAAAGGTCAGGCAAGAAACACATCCGAAAAAGATATGGCAACCTCCCCCCCCCCAAATCCTGCTTCCTGGTTTTGTTTGTATAGAAAGGAATATGAGAATACAAGCCACACGAACAATGTGAGAATTGTAGTTCAGGCTGCTGAAAGTCAGAAACTTCAGTTAAAGTAGGTTTCAACTCACAAGAATAAAGACAAAAAGTACTAAGTGAACCAGCTATGCATTTAAATGCACAGGGAGAGTGCCTCAGCTTCAGTCATCTTCAGAATTTCTCTGCTATGCTGGAGGAAAAATTCAAATCTAGCCTGGGTTTCCAGCTCGGCATCAGAAAATGGCTTAATGCTTTGATTTTAAACTTCGTAGGCTTCTGCTTTCCAGAGCCCTGACTTGCTGAACTGGGTCCATAGAAAGAAGCTTAAACAAAAGGCAATATACTAAGTGCTATAATTCTCAAATCCTGTATAAACCTCTGCTTACAGGATGCCTGTAACAAAGAAAAGGTTTACGAGTTATGTCACATCCTTCGACTTTTTCCAGTTGCCACGCAGTTCCTAAAAAGGAAGTTCAGAGATTCCTCAGTACTGATATGCTTCATTCAGCTTTGCTTCCCATGCATTTCCTCCCCCTCCACAGTTTTGCAAATTGACACAAAGAAAATGGTTGCTTATTGGGATTTTATCTGTTATGCAGTCAGCAACAACAACATTGAGCAGTTGATTCTGACAAGCGGACAAAAGATAAAATAAAAGCCTAAAAATGACTACCTGTTAGTTCAACCTCAGTTCTGAACAGAACATATTTGTCAATTACTTCATAAACTCTTAATACTGGTACCATTGTACTGGTAAGCCTGTTTTTTACTCAAGCTCAGGTAAATGGAGCTCCAAGGCAATGGCATCTTCCATTTAGTTTAGATGTTTACTGGTTCTAATTTCATCCTCTAAATAAGAGGCTTTAAGAGTTAACAAAATATGTAGTTGAAGAATAGCAAGAACTCCTTCTTTAGTTGAGAGCTACAAGGTCTCACTTGGCTGGAGAGTGTCTGGAAGCAGACAGTACCTATGGCAACCAGTGTAAAAGTAGAAGCCCCCTGCATTTACCACAACAGACTTCAAACCTTTCCTGTAAGCAAAGAATGTCACTTATTGTTAAAATCTTCCATTCAAAGAAGCTCAAGACACCCTGCTGACAGGGCTGAACCAAGCATAATTTAATCTTTATGAATCAGAAGAAATACTGTAGCTGTTTCCTAAGTAGGAAAACTGTGTTGGGAAGAAGAGGGAAGCTGGTGGAGTGTGCTAAGTCCTGGAAAGGATGTTACCTTTTAAGAGAGACTTAGAAGGAGCATGTGTCAGCCTCATTTCTATGACACACACAACACAAATTACCTAGCCTCAGTCTACACAGGCTAGTAGTAAATAGACTTAGAATTTCTTTGCTACAGGCTATTTCTTTGCTAACAAAAAGGGTGTGTTTTGACCACAAAAAAAATATTTAAAAAGAATTAATGCATGTTGTAACAATGCAGATGAGGCATGGTAGCTTCACCACCAGCTAAAGTCAGATCGCCAGTGCCTGGAGCATTGAGTTCACATCCTCCAGCCACTTCATGGTAAAATACAAGCCTCATTTTAAAAACTTGAGTATAGATAAAAGTGGTTAGTAAAGAGTAAAGCAATACTTATGCTGATAAAGAACACACTTAAATTTATATGCCATCTTCCTCCCTGAAAGATTCCAGACTACTGGACACACACAGTATTGTCAAAAGGAGCTATGCAAAGGCTCTGTCGATATACATACCTGTGGGCCAAAATAAAGTTGCGTACGGAAGTAGAAAGCAATTACGGTATTTGGCATACTTTAGATTTGGCATGAGTTACAGAACAACTTACTTGTCCTCTTGTTCACCTTGTTTCTCTTCTGCAATACAATTTACTTCTCTATTTCACTTAAAAGACCAGCTGTCATACCATCACAGTGTATTCGTATACGTCAGATCAATCGTAAAACTGTTACTGACCCCTCCTTACATATCAGCCTTCAGAAAGAAAGGAGAAAATACACACAAGTTCCTTCAGGAAGCAGAAACCCTACTAAGATCACTTCTTATTTGGTTTCATTTGGACCCTTAAATCCCCAGTACACTTGCAGTGAGTGCTGCGAACAAGTCGCCAGTTCACAGATGCCCCCACCTCTTCTTCCCCTCAAATTTAAGAGGGTATATTCAGAAGTTCTCCTCTGGTGAAGAGCTTTGCAGGCATGCGGGTAACATCCAGAGCATCAAAGGCCAGGCCACCACATCTCATCCAGAGCCTCAACTATGCCTACACTTTTTTCAAAGGCTTGAAAACAGATGACAGACTTTCTGTCGTGCTCTATGCCCACAGCTTACAGCAGCTTTGAAAGAGCAGAGTAGTGCAGCAGATGGCAGACAGCAAACAGCTGCTCTTCAGCGCTGTGAGCGGAGAAAAGCAAGCTCTGTGTAACCTGGCAGAGAGTGGTACAAAGCCTCACTAGGACATACCAAACACCCAGTGTTTACGCAAAGCCTTCTGAATTTTTATTTACTTTCTTGGAAGGAAAATAATTCATGTCCCCCCGCCCCAAACACACATTCTCCACAGCGATCAGGAAATCTCTGTTTGTATAAAGAGGAGCATGAGAGATTACTGACTGCATTGGCCCAGTTGTTCATCACTTGTTACCTTTCAAATTTAAAAAAAAAAAAAAAAAAAAAAA